CAGCACCTCGGCATGCATAAAGTGTGCTAGTGAAACAGCACACATTGGAGAGACTCTTGTGTGCCTTCATAGCTAATTGGTGCCTCTTCAACAACTGTTCTCATCCTCTTCAATCCATTAATTCCTAGACAACAGCACTTCTGAGAAGCCGTAAAGTGAGTTAGCCAAAGTCAAAGCACTCATCACCCCCCTTTCCATTAAAGCTCCGCACATCAATACCTGTCCACTCCTGGAGTACCGTCGTCTGGCCACAGATCTGATGTTATCCCTACATGATGTAACCGGCGGTTCACTAACAGGCCTAATAAATGGACAATGCATGTGCCTGTCCATTAACTTCTAACATGGTGTATTACACTTGAGAAGCCCAACTTTTTCAAGGTTGTTTAAGGGTGCTTTTTGGATTGAATTATGCATGAGGGAGGGAGTACTTCCTATCGTTCAGCTATGTAATAAAATGAGCCTGTCTGATTGTCCTTCAGCGCTGATACATATTTTTTTTAATTTAACAGTATACGTGACATATTGGCTCATGAAAATGGATAGCACACAGGTGTAAGGTTTGCTTTGACTTGTTTTCAGGAACGTGCTAGAGTTTTAAGATGTATCTGTATTTTTTTCCCAAAACTGGGTAAATTACCTTGTGTAGGGAGAATTGCCATTGATTCAAGGGGCATAGCAATTGTAGAGTGAATAGCTGGATGCCGCCTTTGTTGGTTAGTATGAAGCCATTGATGTTATTCTGGTTATGTACTGTGCAATCAAACCAGAGACAGACGATGCTGTTTGTAAGTCACATACCTGTAACTTTGTGTGGGGGTTTGTGTGTGCAAGAAACTGTTATTGCCTGGATACACGTGTGTGTACGCATGTGTGTGTGTGTGCAAAGGTTTCACACTAATTCATTCTTCATCCTTCATCTTCTTTACCTGAGGGACAGCAGATGAGTTTTGAATGCTTTCAGGGTTTGTTTCCCTCATCTCTAGCTGATGACTACCATCCAATCACGACATTGACCCAGGTGTTATTCTCCAATTACAAGCCTGTAACCAAACTCATCTTTTCATACCACCACAGGGCCCACAGTTCCATGCAGGAGTCCGCGTGGATTTGAAGTTACGTATTACATATTGTGCATCAAATAGACATGTTATAGGCTTGTAATGTTGAAAATTGTATCTTTTTTTAAGTCATGGTGCTGCAGCTGTAAAAATGCTCCAATTCTAGTTGTTCTACTTGGTGGAAAAACTGCATCCTGTTATATCATAATATTATAATATGGATTTTGTTTAATAAGGCGTTACTAAAAGTCTATTTCAGATAGCGTTGTGCTGATGCGAGCCATTTTGTGTATCCATTTTCCTAACTAATCACAAAGTTTCCTGATTTGCAGCCTTTCTATACAGAACTTATAGATGAAGTGAACTGAGCCAGAAATTATCACACAATTATAGAAAAAAAAGCACCATACAGACCTTTGGAAAGCACGAGCCATTGAAACAGAATAAGCACAACCATGTGTGATATAGCGGCTTTATTTAATTTATGCTTGTTAAGTATATACATGCAGGGCCTTTTTGTTTGACTGGAAAATGATGAATTACCTTGGGTCCTGTCACCGAGCCATCTTTTTTAATGACCTTGTATTTTCGTAGATCATATTTTAGGAAAGTATAGAGGATATGATAGCTGGCAGCCAGAGGTAAGACTATACGTTTCCACTAGCTATGTCTTGAGTTTATAAAATAAATAGTCCAGAATTTTTCATATTATGGTGAAATTGGAGCAGTAAAGCTTTCACAGTCTGGGCAGGAAAGGTTGTTTGTGTGGGTGCGCAAGGAAAGAGGTAGAAAGAGAGTGGAAGCAGGAGAGTCAATGTAAAGGACAGTAAGTAGAAAGGGTTCAATAGTCTCTCTGCTCGCTATACTTTTCTTTTCATATTGACTTTTCTTTAACCTCCTTTCCTTTGTTCTCTGCTTAGCTAATCAAATTTTTCCCACTAATATGCACTTTGTATCCAATCATAGTGCTCTGCTGTGCAATGTGCAACCTTTTCCTCTAAATTCCAATCAAGCTCTCCATCACCAAGTTAAAGCTAAGTCAGTAGTAATCTTACATCTCTGTGTTCTGCATTGATGGTGTAACTGAATGTGACCCTAAAAGCATTTTAGGCTCAAGGTCATCTGGCTTTTAGTTGCCTTCCTGCATCCATAAGAGTCACACGGTCTCTAATATGTGCCAGTGTGGTGTGAGACAAATGTATTCAATCCTCCCAGGTACTCTTCAGTTGACAATGATAGGACAGTTAGAAGGCAGGAGTGCTGTCTTTATCCCTCCTTTCCTCTTTTTTGATCATCTGAGTGTAAGAATCTTAGGGATTACTGGAAAATCCTTTACAGTTTTGAATATCTTGGGCAAAAATGACTTATGATTATTTCTTTGTGATTACACACAATTACCCTAGCAGCTACAGCTTAATTAAATTAAAATAAACCTTTGTTTCTTTGTATGTGAAAGCCTGGAGAAGCTAATCGTTGTTCTTGAACAGGCTGCTGGTCATGATGATTCGCGCCGACATGTTGTATGTCTTGTTACAGCATTGATTCTTTTATCGAGCTACCTGAAATTCCTTCGGCTTACTTTCCAAACATGTTGAATAAATAAAGAAGCCCTAAACGTTCAATCGCAGGCAGAGATTTGGAGCACTTTTTAGAATTTTGGTGACATCTCCATCTCTCACTCGCCTGTCTTCTAAAGTCAAGCTGGCGTGACTAAAATACTTCACACATACTTCGTCACAGTGCACTTTGGCTGCAGTGCTTTTGAGATTTGGGCCTGGCTAACAGGCTTAGGCTCCTCTGTCTCTCTCACGGCAGTATTTCTCCTTCTTTTTACCTAAACGTAACATTATGGCACTGTGGATCCAAGCAATCAGAAAGCACCAAGGCCAACATTTACTATTTGTGTTCTGTGGCGTATGTAGTATATGCTTTACTTAGTTGAATGCACAAATGCTTTAAAAATTTCCAGAGGAACAGAAGTGAAAATATAAGATGGTGTAACAACATACGCATTAAAAACGTACTCACAAACACATTTTGGGATTTTGGTCAAATGAATGATGGGAAACACCCGGGGGGGAAACATGCACAATATTTTTGCACTTTTACCACACTGTGATGCATTTTGGAGTCAAATCAGATCTATTCACACTGGTTACAGCAAAGTTCCCAATGTCATAGATAATACTTTACTTTCTCTTGCAGCTCCTCCTTCCTCCTTTTCACACTGTGCCACAGATACATTTGATAAGAGTCTGTTCACTTTGTGATAGGCTTGTATATCTTGTCTTGCACATTTTATATGGTCATTTAACTGGTGAGCACAAAGCAAATTTATTAAGTGGAAACAGTTATGTCCGAGAAAATGTTTTGCTTAAAAAAAACTGTCGTCTTTAGTGTTTTGTTTGACTGTTTTATTTAATGTCTAATTAGTTTATAGGCTATCTGGTTGTCTGCTGTGATGCTGTCTCAAACAGATGTGAATATACTATCCAGAGATTCAAGCATTAAGGCAGTGTGAGAGTGAGTATGTGTATTAGTTTGAGTGTAATGAGCACTGCAGTCATTAGCTGGGACGGGGAAGGGGTGTGGGCTGCAGGATGGCACAGATGGTGGTGGAATGAGACCCGGACTCACTGCAGATTTATGCTTCTCTCTCAGGTGTCTGTCTGTGTGTCTCTGCTTGCTCACTCTCATTTCTCATTTCAAAGTCAGACACTGTGTGCCAAATGCGTAAGATGAGGGGAGCCATCTCTTTCCACATCGAGTCTCTCTGGGGCTCCTCACAAACATTTTGTCATCAAAATAAATTCTGCTGCCCTTTGTACTGTACGTGCATTTGTGTCGTTTTTGTAGGCATACATTTGCACGATTTCCATTAATCAACGAGAATAATTCAGCTCTTTTTTTCTTATTGTGAATAGCAACAGCTTATCAAGAGCATATGTTCTAACTGTGAAGATTTGGAAAAATAAATGCTCATTTTATATTTGATCTCAGACGCATATTAAAAAAAAATGATGGGCTCCTGTTTACCACCGTGTTGCATCACCTCTTCTTTTAACAACACGATAAGCGATCGGGAACTGCCATAGTTTGGAAATCAAAATATTTTCCCGTTCTCGCTTGGTGTGCGATTTCATCTGCTTGTAAGTTTGAGAGCTAATTTGTTGTATTTTTCCATATTGCGCCAAATCTTTTTATCTGGTGACACACCTGAACTGCAAGGCAAACCAATGCTGTTGTAATAAAGCTAGAATCTGGTTTATCATTGTCTTCCTGACATGTCATCACATCAGTGCCATCTGGATGGCAGCATAAATTGCTTCAAAAACCTGTTCAGCATTAATGGCGCCCTCAAAAATGTATTGAATGAGCTTGGCCAAAGAAAAGTTGGTGGCTTTTTTGGCTCTTCTCTTTATATCATTTATATATAAATACCTTTTATGATCCATCTATCTTCTGTCACGGGGAGAAGCAGCCAAAGCAGAGGCACACAGATCTCCATCCCTCCTGCCATCTTCACCAGCTGTTCATGGATTGAAGAGGTTGGACACTAAGTCGTTCACAAGCCAGCTGAGAGATTTAATCTCTCCAGTGTGTCCTTGATCTGCCCCAGGGACTGCTCGATAGCACACATCAGGAAAAGCAAATTTAGGAGGTGCTCAGGAGGCATCCTAGTTACATGCTCAAGCCACGTCAAGTGACTCTCTTCAATGTGTCAGAGTAGCAGTTCTACTCTGAGCCTCTCCCAAACAACTGAACTCATCATCCTATCTTTGAGAGAGAACCCAGATACCCAACTGAGGAAGCCATTTTTGCCGCTTGTATCCACACTGTATCCCACCTGGCACAGAATGCGAGGCGACAAAAATGCTGCTCGTTTCTACTTCACGGTATTTTGCTTTAATATTTTCTGTCTTCCTTGTCTTTGCTCAGATCGCACTGGGAAGCGCTCCATCATGCCCGACTCACCTGCGGACGTCAAGACACAGTCCAGGTTGACCCCCCCTACCATGCCACCCCCACCCAGTACACAAGGAGCACCCCGTAACAGCTCCTACACACCAACTACATGTGAGTAAAGAAAGAGGACGTGTTTATTGCTGATGGAGACGTCCAGCGATATAAGAAAACCTATTTTTATTGCAAACCGTGACCATGCTGCAAATATGGTCCAGTGTTACAGTGAGAGAAATAATGTGACTACTTTTGCTATTAATGGCCAACCAGCAACAGCCTGCTGATGAGTAGGAAGGAGGTCAGAAAATTACCTTCCTATAAATGTTCCCAGCATTGCTCAAAGATCACAAAGAAAAAAACAAAGCAAATAATCTTAACACAGTTAATATTTTACACTAATGTCACAGCTCAGTCATGTCCCGGCTGGGTGTATGGTTGGAGGTATAACAATCATATAAAAATTGCACTCTAAAAATGGTGATTGACAGTAGATTTGCAGAAGCTCATACATATCAACGCAGTTCCAGCATGCGAGTTATCATGGTGGACGTGTGGGACTCGTGAGACCCTCTTATCAAGTTGCATTGAGCCTTTTCAATTCTTTCCCAACAAGTTCATTAACACCCATGCTTACAAACTGTTGGAGCAATGCCATGACACGCACATAGCTTGTGACGAGCAAATTACACCCTAGTATTCACTCAGAAGAGCATACTTAACCACTTGCATGAAGAGCACTAGAATCAAAGAATCAGAGGCCCTGTGTGCTCAGAGCACTTGAGTCTGCATTGGTACTGCTGGTACTTTGCAACGGCTGAATTATTTTGTTCATTTTTAATCACATACCCCTTTTTTCATTTATGTTATTTACTTTCTCTCTCTCCCTTTGCATCTGTCTGTCTGTTTCGCTCTCTCTCTCTGCTGCAAACGCTCACACACCACAATTAACATTGGGGCTTCCGTGCAATGAGGGAGGAAAGGCCCAACTCTCTCATTACACATGCCAAAGGTTTTAACAAAGCAGTATGCTTTGATTTCCATCCGACGTAATTGTTACCAGATGCAGTTTGAGCATCTCGTCTCTCTCCTCTCTTTACAGTGGTGGGTTTGGACGGCGGCCAGAGGGGGAGTGAGTGGATCGCTAGTCACAACCTAATCTCATTAGAGAGAGAGCTTTATGCTGCCTTGTATCTCTTTGTACAGCAACTCCCCCAACACACACACAGACACGTATAGCTTCCGCGCTGTGGAGCACGGGGGGGGGGTCTCACTGTCACCGGCATGTTTAGAGCTTCGGGAAGAACAGAAAAGGGAGACGGAGGTAGAGAGAGGCAACGTGTCTCCAAATACAGAAATGTGTTTTTATGGGAGGATGCCGTGAAGGTTCAAAGGAGGCGCACTAATTGGAAACAAATGCGGACGCTTGCGGATGATTTTAGGGGAATGCGCATCGTTTGAAATCACTGGAAATCACAAAGCTGTTGTTTCCTCCATGATTTGTACGTAGCGGGAGGAAATCCAGTGTTACTTTAACAGTAATGTGATTTTATCAGAAATAAAATTTACAAAAATAATAAGAAATGACGTCAAGAAAATGCAATTAGCAAATGCCGTGCTTTCCTGTCTGCTGCTCACATTATTCTCTATGTCCTTATCTCACACAGTAACCAACGGCAGTAGCCACTCCCCAACGGCGCTCAACGGCGCTCCATCTCCTCCAAATGGTTACAGCAATGGTCCTAGCTCATCCTCCTCATCGTCTCTGGCCAACCAACAGCTGCCTCCAGCCTGTGGTGCCCGACAGCTCAGCAAGCTCAAGCGCTTCCTCACTACTCTACAGCAGTTTGGGAACGACATCTCACCTGAAATTGGCGAAAGAGTCCGCACGTTGGTGCTGGGATTAGTGGTAAGAACCTTTGGTGTCTGTGAGCTGGATCAGTGTTCTTAGAGAGGAAGTAACTGCTTGGTGCTGTTAAAATGTGTTAATATGTGTAAATACAGTGTTGTGCGACAATCTTGAGTGAATCTTTATTTCCTTATATTTTGATTCCAAGAAGTCAGACTTTCTTGTAATTTTTTAAAGTGGTCTTGGGCAGTAGTAAGTCCTTCAATCAAACATAAACAACTTAGTGAAGAACACATTTTAAATTATATCTTTAGGCACTTTGTTACTAGCATCCTTTCAAGAAAATCTTGAATCTCTGATGCCAATGATAACACAGTTTGACAGGTTTAAATAACATGTTTTCACCAACAAGATGACTCTCAGAGGCATATTAGTGTATCTTGGAAGATTTTGAACAAGTAAAAGAATAAAAGAAGAAGTGGCAGGCCTTAAAAAAAATATCTCCAGCAGATGAGCGTTGGCTCAAAACCTTTGTAGAGTTTCTGCCTTCAAAACTGATATCGATCGGTGACGTTAAAACTCATTCTTGAGGATCACACAATGCCTGGCAAACAGAGAAAATACAGCAGTGACAGGAGGCTGGCAGCATCCATCTTTATACAGCTGATCGACAATGAATTTAACTACACTGCTGTGATTTCAACTGAAATGTAACAACGTGGAAACGACGGCGATATGGATTAGACTTCCCATTCCAGCATCAAACTAATGTTGTCACTAAGGGTGTGCAGGTGTCTGACAACCTAACATAACTCACCCAGTTGCATATTAAAACTGTTATTTATGTAGCTAATGAATAGATGTAATTGCAATCAAGTGATGACTGTGGCTTTAAGAGGATGCTCAAATTAAAGCATTACTGCTAATCACACTTCTAACCCTAATTAAGATCCAGCAAATAGAGGGAATAAAACAGCATTTGATATTCAACATGTAAATCAGAATTTGTCTGAGTTCGTCAATTATGAGAAAAATGTAGGAAAAGATTGAAAAATATGAAGGTTTTAAGTACAGCACATTCTTTACTGGAAATTCACATTGGTACCACGAATGTTAATATTGGCATTTCTGCAAAATATACATCGAGTACATTTGATAAGACAGATGTGTTTCCCAGTTTAGTTGACACAGTTATGCTAAGGATATATCAGGGAAAGGATTTGGTGTAAAATACAATGTGCAAATCTGGAGATTTACCACACGTCTTTGTGATCTGAGAAATTTTGAGCTTAATGAGCAGGGGAATACAGAAATAATGATTGAATGTTGTGCAGAAAAGAGGAGGAGGCGGAGGAGAAGGAGGGAGGAATTTTTTTAATTAGCCACATAGAGCATAACCTCCTTTTGGCTTCACTATGTTTATTTTTCTCACCGTCTGCATACGCACATGCCTCTCCTGTGTCCTTTTGGTTTGCATACCTCCCCGCCATACACCCCCCGTCTTCCTCTCCCGCTCACTGTCTCTCTGTCCCTCCCCCTGCCTCGCTGAAAAGAGTGACACCGTTAATTAGCTGGTTGTGTGCTTGGGAGAGGGAGAGAGGGAGACTCGGGAGGTTTCACTAGCTGTCAAGAACAGCCCCTACGCAATCTGGGCGAACAGATGTAAGACTGAATGTAACAAAATTCAGGTCTGGGAAATAACGCTGAGAGTGTTGGGAGGAAAAATAATATCTGCGGCTTTTTTTAATGTTCTCTGTGTTGCTTGATTTCTC